TCTGTAGGCGCAGGCGTCCTGTGGCTGTCCTATGAAGGCCGCAGTGACAGTCGAACCCGGAATCGGATGCGCGAACCATATTTCTCAATTGCGCGTGAGGTTTTCCCCGTTACTACGAACAGATCACACGTAATATCCATCTGCTGGGCCATTAGGCATATTTATGCTCGTGTTCTTATCGCTGTCTGCTGAGGAAAAATGTGTCTGATTAATATGTAAACATTATCAAAGCGCCGTACGCGCATAGTTTGGGCAGAGTGAGGGTTTATTGCAACCTGTCGCCACCCTTCAGTATCACCAGCGGTATGAGACAAGGTTGCCCGCTGTCACCTTTCCTCTTTAACTTCGCTATTGATGAAGTCATGGAAACAGCGTTCGCTGGACACGACCTAGAACATGTGAGCTACTTCCTGGTGAGCGACTTCTTGACTTGGAGTATGCGGACAATATTGCCCTAATCTGTGACAGCTCCCAAACATGCTAAGCAGCACTGGACCGATTAGCACTGGCTATCAATCGTTTTGGGCTATGCTTTGCTCCATCGAAATGCAAAGTACTTCTCCAAGATCGGCTGGGATCCAACCCTGCTCTAACACTTTGTGGTGATAGGCTAGAAGTCGTTTAGTACCTGAGCAGCTATATTAGCACCCGTGGGATTGAAGATGAGGTTACGACCCGCACAGCAAAAGCTCGAGGTGCTTTTGCCAATATCTGCCACCTGTGGCGCAGACGCGACTTTACTCTCGCCCTGAAAGCAGAGTTTACAACGCAGCCGTCCGTTCAACTCTCCTATATGGTTGTGAAACCTGGCCCATCAGGTCGACTGACATGAAGAGGCTCGTCACATTCGATCATCGCTGCCTTCGCAGCTTAGCTCATGTTGGGTGGGAACACCGCGTGAGCAGTGAGTGTGTTCGATGTCGCGTATTTGGTGCAGGAAGAGCGAGTGAACCGCTCAACACCATTATATCACGCACCAGGCTCCGATGGCTGGGCCACGTGTTGCGCATGCCAGCACACCGACTCCCGCGATGTGCATTGTTTGCGCGTTGTGGGTGAGGTTGGAAGAGGAGGAAGGGAGACCGAGTGATGATTTGGTCGAGAGAGATGAAGACTCTCACTTCGAAGTTGGCATCGGTTGGTGCATCCCGACTGCCCGGCTGGGGTCCTAAGGACGGTGAATACGTTTGGTTGGACACACTTGCTGATATGGCTTGGAGCCGGCGCCAATGGCGTCCATCCCCCTCCTGCTTAGCATCCCCTCCAACCACGATCTCACTCGTTAGGCACAATATGACTCTCAATTTACGGCACGATAGCCAGCTGTTAGCTCTCCGGAACGATGTCCATCCGTTACTGGGGACTCAGCCGGCGTGCCACTGTTTGTTTTCCTTTTCTTGTCTTTTGTATTGCGGCACAATAGCTGAGGTCTTTTTCACCTGCAGCTAACGCGTATAATGATGATGAAGATGTTCTTATCGCTAGGTTTCACGAGGCCTTATCCATATTTATTAAATCCACAGGGCAAGTATCGCTGATATCCGCTGGTTACCATTAGCAAATTCTTTGGTACCCCGTACCAATGGTTCGCTGCTACGCAACCACCAACATTCGCTCGCGGACTAGGCGTACTGCTAGGTCGCCTTACACCTGGACAGATCCGAGCCATTGACCTTTCTCTTATGAGGCGGATTACCCGTCAGTTTGACCATCGACCGCCAGTTTGTGTGTCTGACAGTTGGCGCTTCTGGGATGTGGACCATAGATTAACCTAAAATCACTGGCAGTGACCTAATAACCTTCACATGACCACCGGACTCTCGTTTCGGTGTATACGTATGCCGCCGTTATTGGGGTTAGACCTTATTGCGATCACTTGCTATCCAAAAATTTGGTGCGTGCTATCGCTAACAATTCTGATGGCTGGTGCGCACACGTGATGAACACAAAGCGGCGGCTGGCAGGTGGCGCATTCTCCCACCAACCGTCGGGTATGTCAGCGGTCCGCTGCTACACCGGTTGCGCTCTTGCATTCGTTTCCCCACTTAAACGACCTTCGCTTCTATCTAACTATCTCTCAGCTGTTTTCTGTCATTTTTATTTTGTTTGTTTCTATCTTCATTTCACGCCATTGATGATCGTTAATCTCACGATACTATGAGTCGAGGTAGTCGGGTTTATTGTTCTTGTTTCTTCAGATCAGATCAGATATTTCACTTCGACATCTTAACACTGTAACGAAGCCAGCGTGATATCTTCGTTCAGAAATTGCCAAAGCACAAACACTGGCTTTACTAAGTGAATCAGTAGCGCTTGTCCACCGCCTGCCAGGTGAGAATACCCATGGTAGTCGTACGCTTTCTCCTGATTCTTCATTTCACTTGCTTCTATCCTCCATCACTCTTTACGCAAAAATCGGAGTCTGATCTCATATCCCAGTCTATGCATTACGCTTTTTCCCTTACCAAAGCATCGATCTACTTTCGACGATATCGCATTCGTAGCTGACGTCCTTCGGGGATCCTTTATTTACTGTGCAGCGCTTCGCTAGCTTCTTGTACCTTCTCCATTATTTGGGACCGTTATCCACTTGACTGGACCACTACATTCTCCACATTTCTCTACCAACGCACTCGCCCAGCCGATTTTAACCTCCATGTGTTCCATTATCAAGTTGTCGCCGACGAGGCTAAACGCTAACATACTATGATGGTTCACTTGCCACCACCGAATAACACTTGATGGCACTTACTTAAGTACCTACAGGGATACTCATACCAATGATCATGGACCAGGCCAATTTAACCTCGTCTTTCGACTGTCGGGGAGAGGTCGATCGCCTTCTTCCTTCGGAACGTAAACATTGGAAGCAACAGCTGCTGGTTATAAGCTCGAATCAATTGGCGCAGAGCATGTGTACCGTGGGAGAACATCCTCGTTCACTGGCTTGCTACTCTTTACCGCAATCCAAGCGGCTCGTGATCAAACCATTCAGCAAAATTCCAGTGTTGTTTATCTTAGTTATGGTTGTTAGTAAATACTTTACAGATCTAAATGCATCCGCAGTTAATTTCGAATCCCTCAAATTTATGTGGCTGGCCTCGGGTAGATTCAACTGGGACTCTTCAATCACCTCCCTACTTGATGTACCTCTCACTGCTTTACAGGTCAGGTTTAAGGCTAAGGCTACTGCGGGACGCCCCCGAATGAAACCGCTCTCTCGGAATAGGCAGCCCAAGAGTATCATCTGCTCACGTGACACCGTCGCCTGTAATGTCCTGCTACCTGTTCTTTCCGTTTCACTAGTCCTTTCCCATGTATCAACTGGGAAGTGCTACTAATTTTCTCAGCCACACTAGCAAAGATGCCTGGGTTAACCCTCAAGCTCAGAGTGTCATTCTACAGGTGGTCTTTATATATTTGCACACTATATCGAGTCAGCCAAAAGGTGATTCTATCCGTTGTAGCTCCGTATCGTAATAATTTTCACACGTCTCTTTACCGAACCAGATATCGATTCAGCTGTTACTTTGGGGTCTTCTCGTACGCATACCATAACGTCTCTCCTCATCTGGTATGCGCTCTCACTGACTTCTCTCTACGCAGGTGGCCTGCGCTACCACATTTACGAGGTGGCACATTCCATTTTGCTTTACTCGATTGTCGATTCTTAGTGTGCACAAATCGCACCATAATCTATCGGCACTTCTTATACAGACGCAGTTTGGTATGCATATGTGCATAACTATGTGGCCTCGTTATTACGAACGAGCTCCTCTTGGTTTGTCGTCGTCCCGAGTCCCTCACCATCCTTTTCAACGCAGCGCAACACTACTGTTAGCCTACAGCTGCTCATGCTGTCCCCAATACTTTTGTAACCACGGTTTATTTCTGCAGACTCCGAACCCGGTTATCAATCATCTGTCTTCATCTCTCGGTTTCTGCTGCTTACCCATTGAGATGGTAAGCGTATGTTGGCTGCTTCTTTGGGGATGAAATCTTAGTGGCGCCAAAGCGAGATCTTTAAGCCTGAGTACGTCATTAAGAATCAGCTCAGGGTACTTCTCCACCTCAACTAAAGAATGTAGGGGGATTCGTTGTTTGCGCTCACCCTATAACGGCCGCGTGTCAGACGATCTTTACAATACTCTCTCGACCCATGTCACGTAGTCTCATGTCTATGAGACACCATGGTCGCAGAATTACCCATTCTGTCGAAGTAACTTCGTTTGCCTTATTTTCTTGTCCTCACGGGGCGCACTTGGATTACGGATTTTAGTGACCAACTTTGGATGCGACTTTGAGAAGTAGCATACGACTAGCCATTGCAATGGGGTTCGAAATACTGGCTGGCCTACAAGCCAGAGCGAGTTGTGAGAATCAACATGCGCTCTCGATGCAACCCGAATGTAACCTCTTTCTGCGACATTCTCCCGCGCCCTTTGTCTCTATTCGACCTCCGATCGATCGGCCGATTGGTTAGGTTTATATGGTTCATTACGGTCAATGAACTATCAGCTCAGTTGAATCAAACTACTTTCGGATAAACAAAAATTGTTCATGAGAGGAACGGAAGTTGTTCTTTTATTAGCATCTCTACTTTGCTATCTCATTCCGCTCATCAAAATTCTTCTTAATGTTTATTTCACGCTCTTTTTACCGAATCAGCTACTACTGAGGAGTCTCGTTTTTCACTCATGCGAGCAGATAATGGTACATCATTTTCGGCAACATATCTTTGCAGTTAAGCCAGCCACGCCTGTTTGTGCGTGCCATCGGTGTATTAATGCATTATCTTTGTCACTTTTGAAATTCGCCTCCTTGCTCCTCTTCTTTATGCGTATTCGCTCACGATAGGCAACTTAAATCACTTCACCATGATCTGGAACACGGAGAAGGTCCTGTCTGATCCATTACACAACGTGCGCCTTACTTCCAGATTTTCGTCATTCATCCCGGCTTCATAATTGACTATTTGTATCCACTATCGTCTTTTGTAGAGTGCACCCTTTGACCTTCACGAAAACCGAGCAACCGAACCCTTCAGGATTTCTGATTCGTCAGATTCTCATGAAACTCGCCCACATTCTATTCATGGAGAACACGCTGAAACCCCAACCCCGCCATCTGTCGTGAAGCGGCTGGTACGTCCCCTGAACGATTCAGTTAACGCTGTGAATTCAAATGTGCCAACTGGAACCACAGCTTCGACACGACCGACGACTATCAATTCCTCTTTGTTGGATACCGATATGGGTTTCAGCGAACATGCCATCTCCCCACTTGCCATAGAATCAATCACTCCTACCGCAGACACAGCGGGTTATTCGTCCAGTGATCCCATACATCCCAGTCTTCAACGAGAAACACGGAAAATCAATCAACATCGCCATTCTGCTGGCACTGAGTCGTCATGCTCTTCCATCACCTCGTTTTTCTCCACTGGTTCCGTGGGCGTCTCCTCGGCACTTAGCACACATTCGGCCGACTGCAGTCCGACCGGGGAACAGTTGTTTCAACGAGTTGGTCTCACTGCTCTTGGCGGCTCCTTGATTGCGCATCCCAAAGTTGACAATGCTCCCCTGATCTGCGTGTCTCCCGATCGGGGCACATGGCCAGATGACGGATTGCATTTTCCTCGCGTTGCACCTCTCGCTGAAGACGAGATCGGAGACCAAACCATCCGGTCTGATAGGCGAAGCTCAGGTTGTGAGCAGAACGGTATAGACGATGAGGATTCAGGTAAGCACTTACTTGGTGTGAACTTTTTGTTGATCTTGGTGGGTACACTCCATCATCTCTCCACGGCAATGTTTTGAACCTTTTCGCGTTTCACCCTTTCAGCCAACACTTTTAATGCATGTTTTGTCATTACCCGCGCTCTCCCTACGAAAAGTCACACTGCTACATGGCGGATGTAACTCGCCACTAACTAAGGTCACTGCCCATTGCTTCACTCAGGTGAAGCATAGTATTCTAGCAGCGTGATGCTGAGATTCTGGGGAAGATTTGGCCGCTGTGTGGCCACCGACCAAACTAAAGACATATGAGCTGAACAATCAGGCGGTTGCTCCCAATGAGCGCGATTCCCTGAATTCGCTACGCTACCATGCGGTCAGGTTATTCAGCCAAAGGTTCGAAATCATGTCCCCATCATGGCTTGGGTCACCGGGTAGTGTCATGCCCTCTGGCGGAACCATAAACTTCTGTCTGTTATGTTCGGCTTTCTTTCCGAAACGACTGAACTTTCTTTTGGTTCACATGGTTTTTGACGGCTCCATGTCTATTCGTTGATTTTTGCATATATATATATATATATATATATATATATATATATATATATATATATATATATATATATATATATATATATATATATATATATATATATATATATATATATATGGTTGGCGGCATCCGGTTTCGGATTTGCCTGTCACTGTGGCAAGCCACAGGACGCCTGCGCCTACAGAGGGACCATGGGTGGCTTGCGCTGCACCACCCACAGCTCCATCCACACACCCCATATCCAGTGTAAACCCGAAGGAATAAGACCGGGAGGCATGTGGATAGGAGCCACGTATCATCAACGGAGCCGGCCCACACTCCTTCACAGGCAAACACAAGCACGCTGTATTTGGGGAATCACGCGCACACAAGGCGGTGGCTGGACCGTAGTCCGCTCCATACTGAGTACATGGTACCACTCTTCGAGCCTAACACGGCCACAAGGACCGTAAACCCTGTCCCCTCCAGCAACGACCAACTGTCTTCTGGAGCCACTATTTACGAGGTAGTGGGTAATAGACAGGTAGGCACCTTGGCAACGTGCACAATAAACGCAGCCACACCTGGGATATCAAACAACAGCCAAACATTTGAGAGAGAGAGAGAGAGAGACAAAGAAAATAACTCGATTAATGCATAAGGAAACGGTAACATAAACCTTAATTAAATAGCATATGTGATAAGTTGTTTACAAACAAATCCTAGCTAAGTGCACCAGGTCAGAAAGTATAGTTCACGGAATACCTCGAACACAAAAATGCTATGGAAATTGACTACAATTGGCTTAAGCGAAGTGTGCAAGTTAATGGAATAGAGTACAGGTAGACATTTATATGAGAAAGAAAAGCATTAAGGCAAAATTGAAAACCCACCATTTGAAATAAAGAGACTTAGCATGCAAGCACGCGGTTAGTAAAAGGAATGCAGCGTGCCTACAAACGCTGCGCCGTTGCTGTCTACCTTCTCTGCAGGACCGGTCGTCGCTTCTGTAGTGGTCCCGAGTGGCCTCGCTCATGGCTCACTAGGAAAGGGTGACATATATCTTAAAGTAATGAGCATCTGAAGTAAGTTGTTTACAGAAGAATGCGAGATAAGTTCACGAGGTCAGAAGGCAAACTTTACGGAAATGCCACGAACACAAAAATGTTTTCGGAAAGGACTATAATTGGCTTAAGTGACGTGTGCAAGTTTATAGAAGAAAGTACGGGTAGACATTTATACGAGAAAGCAAAGCATTGGGACAAAATTGAAAACCCACCACCTGAAATAAACAAACTTAGCACGCATCAAACGGTGATGTAAATCTTAAATTAGTGAGCATATAAGTTGTTTACAAAAGAATACGTTTAAAAAAGAATACGAGGTAAGTTCACGAGGTCAGGAGGTTTATTTTACGGAAATGCTACAAACACGAAAATGTTATCGAAATAACTACAAGTGGCTTAAGCGACGTGTGCAAGTGTATAGAAGAGAGTATAACTAGGCATTTATATGGGAAAGAAAAGCATTAGGGCAAAATTGAAAACCCACCACCTGAAATAAAGAGACTTAGCATGCAAGCACGCGGTTAGTAAATCGAATGCAGCGTACCTACAAACGCTGCGCCGGTTCTGCCTATGTTCTCTGCAGAACCCGTCGTCGTTTCGGTAGTAGTCCCGAGTGGCCTCGCTCATGGCTCACTAGGCCTGCCTGACTAAGGCACTCGCGACCGCATGTGCTACAGCACCACGCACTCGATGTCGATGGAGTACAATTCATTGGTGCTTGCCGCTTCCGAACTTGCCGCTTCTTCTCTGCATGCATGAGGTCTTTCTCCCGCACTTCAGCAACTGCCTTCGTGATGAGATCGCGCCATACGCGCCGATCAACCGCTTTCGATTCCCATGACCCCGTGTGAGGCTCACTTTGATATATATATATATATATATATATATATATATATATATATATATATATATATGCCTGCTTTGCCCCAGAGTTTAGCAATTAACGTACCGTGCTGTGGGTTCATTTTGTATACCAGCGCCTTGCTTGCATTGACGTGTGGCTCGTCTCCTATTGTATTCTCTGCCGTTGTTTAGCCTCCAAAATAACCTCCGACGTTGACCACCTCTCTAAGCTGACCGTTTTTTTTTCGTTATTTGTACATTCACTATGTATGTTAACCACTTTGGTGTCCAGTCTCTTGAATGGTCAACTTACGGGGGTCTTACTGTACGTCCAGAGTGAAACTTCGTGGTAATTGTCGGCTGTGCGACACCTACTCACCATCGAATATTTCGCATGCTCTGATCGACACTGGCTGGTAAAAGGAGAAAGTGCCATCTGATTAGCGCTTGTCAATCGCTACTCCCATCTTCATAAAGGACCAAGAACGTCCGATGGAAATCATCGTGGTATCAGTCTTGTCACACTTGTCTCCTTATGTACACATGCCATAACATCTCATTGAGAACCTATTCAGTGGAAGCCAGATTGTGCGCATGCCAGCGCACCGACTTCCGTGTCATACGTTGTTCTCGCGACCGCGGTGTGGATGGAAGAAAATAGGAGGCCGGTCGGTGACTTGGTCAAGAGGAATGAAAACTCTCACTCCGAAGTTGGCGTCGGTTGCTGTCTTCCGACTGCGGGGCTGGGATCCGAAGGATAATTAACATGTTTGCTTAGATACACTTGTTGACATGGTGACGAGTCGACCTCATTGGCTTTGTATGGTGCGTTTCGTTATCCATCCACTTCAGCTTTCCCCTCTAACAACCATGCGTAATATGATACTTCGCGTTGTATTACCTTTTTTAGTTTTTGTAGTCTGTAATGTTTGATCTATTATTTATTTTGTATTGCGGCCCATTAGCTGTGGTGTTTCTCGCTCTCAGATAACCTGTATGATAGCGATGATAATGACGCTGGTTTCCGCATCGATGGAGGATACATTGAGCACTACACTTTTCGACAGGTGCTTCAGCATCATCTCGCCCACAAACGGCCTATCATGGCTGTCTTCCTTTACATCAAAATGAAAGGTAGACATCAGCAGTACGCAGTACCGATGCTTCGCTGCAGCCCATCCACCACCGGTCGCATGTGGGCTAAGGATACTGTGTGGGTCCCTCCGTCCCTACGTAGGCTCGAACCTGCGCAGTCAGGTTGCGAGACAAGCTCATTACCTTTAGGCTATGGACCATAAAGATTGTCAATTGGTCGTCTCTGAAAACTATTCTTACGTGCCTACACCGCGACTCCCAGCGTTGTGTATGGCTCCATGGATTCGTGACATCAATGGGATTGCGCCACAGCTAATCTTTCTCCATCGCTCTTCAAACAGGTTACATGGATAGCATTGCTGTCTTTGGGCCGTACACAAGTGTTATGCAGACGCACCGCTGAATAAATTGATGGACGAACCTTCAAGGCGCACAGTACCGTCACAGAGTTGAACTGACTCATTTTTACTTCTCACCATCACCGAATAACTGCTCGAAGTGGTCGGACACTTTATTACGTATCTTGATGGTTGTATTATTTCTGGCGGTTATTTCACCTGGAACCTTAATGCATGCATTGCAGGGCCTCATACTCTTAAAGCCTGATATTTATAGTGACGATGCCCTGTAAAATCATTGTTTAATGGAATGGTTTATAACGCTGCGGTAAGGACACATGGTTCTTGCTATATCAATGATCTGGTCACTGTGTACCGGAGATATTGAGAGGCTGACCGTGTTTGACCCCACCGGCGCCTGTGAACTATTGCTCACCACTAGTGGCAGAACTGAATAAACAACGTTTAATATCGTGTAGTATGCCCGTTTTCATTACATCTTTCAAGAAGAAACGCAAGCTGTACGCGCTTACAGTGAACACTTGTTTTCGATTTATTCATCATCAGACTTGGTACAGGAATATACATTGACAAGAGGAATTCGTTCGGGAAACAGAGAGCAACTATTAAGTGAACAAAAATTTCAAGTGGTTAATGTACATTTAAGTACCAAGCCTAATGATGAATTCAAAAACAATTGTTCGCTTTAAGCGTGCCCCTTGTGTTTATTGCAATATACGATGAAACGCTGGATTCCGTCATCTGCTATTTATCAACAGACCTAGGGCCTCATATGATCCGGTGTTAAGCTCGATCTACCCCCACTACTTTCGTCCTATGGTGCATACACCTGTAGACCGACTGCTTCGACACGTATTGTTTACCGGCACTGTATCTAGTTGGGTGAAACCGCGAGGTACTTTACCATTCGCATGGCGAAAAGCATGAGGTAGCTCATCGAAACACCAACTCGGGTTGGTGTTTGTCGCATTCTTGTTGCAGCCCTTGTGATCCGATATGGCATGGTCACGAATTCAGTGTCGCTGTCGCATTCGTATCCTCAGTTCCAGCTTTTAACTACTCCATCTAACGATTTAACTCGTCCATTTCTCTTGAATTAGTATTAGTATTGTTATATCTTAACCTCTGAGATACGGTCTACTGGATCCATTTCACCTCAAAACACGAATCACATTGAGAAACTGGACTGCACTGAGCTCAGTTCTGTTCCCTGGTCTACCTGACCAGCTGTGTTTCGATTTTTTGACCCAGGAATTTTAATGCACCGCACGTTTCTTTCGTCTTTAACAGATGACTCGGTGAGACCTCCATTGGCCCCGCCTTCTGAAGACTCTCCACCTTCATGGGCCATCGGTCGGCCACGTGGTCGCACAATCCATCAGGGACCCGCTGATTCTAACTTGGCTTCTGAGGCATCCTTGAGCATAGAGCCTTCTTCATGTGACCTTAACTCTAATGTTGTCCCAGACCTACTGGAAGATGACATTCCCAGTGTGCCATTCACCCAGCCTTCCGTTCAATCAGCTCCACTCACAGATCCGGATGAAACGAAAAGTATGGACAGCGACACCATCGATGTGACGGAGGATACCTCATCAGAGGAGGATCTATGTGAGATGTCAGAAAACGAGGAAGATGGGCAAGACATTGATTTGGAGGATTATTGGATGACACCCGAAATGCTTGTCTCACATGTTGCGCTATTGGGCTTGAAGGGCTTGCAAATGGAATACAACTCAGTTGTTCGGATAAAATCTCCAGGATCCCGAGCCGCATTCAAGTAGGCATTTTCTGTTAGGTTAAATCTCTTTCCATGTCTACTTTCTTGATCAATTGAAAGCTATTTGGCAGTCACATAACAGTCATCTCTGGTCTAGATCACGATCACCACTTGATGGCTTACTTCCTTGTCTTGCTAATTAAGGGTTTATGGTCCAATCACCTTGCCATCTGATACCACATTAGATTCTGTATATTTTCTGCTTGACCAGACCCTTGCATCAGATGCCCTCGCCACCGATCTCAATTACTTGGTTGGCCACTGGCAGTCCTTATATCTCACGTCTCCAGTATACGGTTAAAGTAGTGTCCGTTACATGAAGCGCTCTCGATGGCAGCGATCGCTGGTCGATTGTTATGCTTGATATGCGTCGGCTTTCGGTTTTTGATAGCGGGTGTTTTTTGCGGAGGATAGGCTTTGTGTAGTGGAAGCCACCACCTTTACGACGATGACAATAAGTGACTTACTCTCAACAGATTCATTCCACGGTGCTAATTGAGGTAACTTGATCACGTTCTGATCATAACATGCGAGCAGTTACCACCTCACGCTCCATATGCTCGTACAATGATTCAAGGCGTCATTCACTTTACCAAAAGTCAACAGAGGGTCAAACCTCTGACTCTGTGCACAAAAGCCACCTGTTTCATCCATAGGTAGACACTTATCGGCCACTTCTCATCCCTTCGATTCTACCACAATGTTTACAGTCTTGTTCAGACATGCTGCACCCGCTCCCTGAATTTTACCGGAGCTGTTTCGATCCGCTGGATCAAACCGGTACTCTGTGTACAAAAGCAGCTGCTCATAAGCCCAAGGCTCCCAAGGACGTGGGTGCAGCACATCTGTCCTCCACCCTATCTCTCTCTTATCGGGTCACACTAGTTGTACTTGCATATATTTTTCCTGTTGTTGCATTGACAATGACGAGGCAACACGATACGTTGACATCTGCCAGTTTTCGTCTTCTCACTGCGTTATTTAAAATGCTAAAGGCAACTAGCTGTAGTCTGTCCACAACGTGTTCCTGACTGAAAATTCAACGTAGTATAGCAAGGCTGACTCGAAACCCTCGAGGATATGGCATGAAATGGGGTTCAGTGGAAGTGCCATAGAGTTATGCTTTGACTTATCAGCTTGACATAATAACCATTAAAGTGACCAAAGGCAAATTGTATATGCAAGGCAAAACTGCATCCATTTTTACGCGTTTCCTTTTTGTGACTCATAATTTCTACGTACTTTGCTTCCATGCTTTCTTTTAAGGGCTCTGTGTCTATCCTTTGGACCGTTGATATCATATATGCATTTGTATGTATATCCACATGTGCAATGCGGGATGCGGTCGGCGGGGGCTATCAGTGACACTTGCGGCCGGCTCACCACACACGCATTTTCGACTTACTGTAACAGTTTTAACTACACCACACAAATCTAATCATCATCATCATCATTACACGTTAGCTGGAGGTGAAAAATACCTCGGCTATTGTGCCGCAATACAAAAGATAAGACAAGAAAAACAAACAGTGGCAAGCCCACTGAGTCCCCAGTAACGAATGGACATCGTTCCGGAGAGCTAACAGCTGGCTGCCGTAAAAGAGTCATATTATGCCTAACAAGTGAGATCGTACTTGGAGGGGGACGGACAAAGAAACTCACAACACAAACGCCATTGGGGCCGGCTCCTTGCCATATCAGCAAGTGTGTCCAACCAAATGTGTTCACCGTCCTTAGGACCCCAGCCAGGCAGTCGGGATGCACCAACCGACACCAACTTCGAAGTGAGGGTTTTCATTTCTCTCGACCAAGTCATGGCCTCCCCTCCGCCTCTTCCAACCGCACTCACAACGCGCAAACAATGCACGTCGCGGAAGTCGGTGTGCTGGCATGCACAACACGTGGCCTGGTGCGTGATATAATGGTGCTGAGCGGTTCACTCGCTCTTCCTGCACCAAATACGCGACGCCGAATACGCTCATTGCTCACACGGTGCTCCCACCAGACATGGGCTAAGCTGCAAAGGCAGCGATGATCGAATGTGACGAGCCTCTTCTTGTCTGTCGACCTGATGGGTCACACAAATCTAAAAATACGACGGAACTGCTTTGTTCATCAGAGGGCGTGCCACAGTCGGAGTATTGTGCTTGTTGCTAATTCCTTGGCTTTGTATTGCAGTGCGGTGTACTCAATTCTTGGTACTTTCTCCAGAAGGGTCTCATCCCTTGGTGCACGCTTCCCACCTTCCTTGGCCAGTGGCCGGTTGGTAGAAAACGTCTGCTTTGTAATACGAAGGTCACCGGTTCAATCCTGAGTAGGTGCGGGCAACCCCGCAGTATTCTTAGCTCGCCTCAAACGGTTGTAGTCTCATGTCAGCGAAGCGTCAGTACGGCGTATTGCTGATATCATTTTGGCCATTGTACAGGGTGGCCACAAAGTCCCCGGACACTCCACGTTTATGCATATACCTACGTAAATCAGTGTATAAATGTAAAAAATTGTACATGATACTTGTCTAGGAAAAGAAGAGCTCTTCGCTGATCAATGAAATGTATTGAAACAAACATGTGCTAGCCTATGATCACACTGTTATGGATCCGGTGTGCCTGTTTGTTCACCATCATTTTCAGCACATAGACGAATTCGTCTCTCCCAGTGCGCGCTGAGATGCGTTGCAGAACATCAAGGGAAATCGAGTTCAATGAAGCACGGATTGCGGCATTAAGTTTTTCTGTGTTGTTGTAACGTGTTTTTCTGATGTCTTCTTTCATCATGCCCCACAAGGCATTGTCGTATGATGAGAGGTCAGGACTGCGAGCTGACCATTGATGCTGTGATCCACGTCCAATGCACCGGCCAGGAAAATTCTCATCCAGGATCCGGCGCACCGAGATAGCAAAATTTGCAGGTGCGCCATCTTGCTGCATCATCATCATCATCAACAGCAGTACATCAGCCATTTGAACTGATGCTTCGCTGCCATACAAGCACGAACACCTATGAAATAGAGAATAAGAAGAGGGAGAGAAGAGGGACTTACCTGAAAACCTTAATGCCCTAAGCAAACATTCCGGGCCAAGGCGTCTACATCTTGTCTAGACAACATACCGTCACAACCAGCTGGCTATCGTGCAAAGATAAGGCGGCATCAGTGAGACAGCTTCCTTGCGGCTTTCACTGCCCCGCGTCATAATCAGCCATTACCCCGCAGATAACTCAGCACCAAACACACTTTAAACAGGCAATCCGATTAGGAGACGGCAGCAGACGCACCACTGGTGTCTACTGCGAGCCATGACCTGTAAAGTCTCGAGCCAAGCACAAGGTGAGTCACATGGACTCCAACCCGGAAGACAAGACGGACCAACGGCACCCAGCTTGGTCGTCAATAACTTCATTTCCCGCTGCCAAGTCAACTTCTGTCCACCTCGAGCCTTGCGCCACCCTACACCTGGTAGACTGAACAAGGCCCTCCTAGGTAAGTGGTGACCAGGCATGCGTAGCACGTGCCCGAGCCAACGCAACTTATTCAGTGCTAGCTGTTGTTCTAGGGAGCTAGCATGATTATCACCAACTAGTACTCGCCTACGCACATCATTGTGGCGGACAGGCTGATGCCATCCGACACCAGCAATGCTTCGCAAACAACGATGATATAAGACTTGAAGGCGTCTCAGACCGAAGGGGCCAAGTATCACTACCATCAAGCAGAATGGCCCTCACTGTGGCCTCGTATACACGACCTTTCAGACGGAGGGAAACTCCCTTCTGTCGCCAAAGATGACGCAGGTTTAAGAGGGTAGCTCTGGCTTTTGCAATGCGTGAGCTGACGTCAGTTTCTATGCGCCCATCATTTCTGATGCAGCTGCCAAGATAAGTGAATTGATCAACCACCTCGAATTCCTCGTTAGCAAGCGTCAAGGGGCCATCAATTGGCTGGTGGTCCTGCAGCAACACTTTGCACTTTGAAGGTGCGAAGTGCATACCAAATAATGGGACCACTCTGGATAGGCTATTCAGGGTTGATTGTGCCGCCCCAACATCGTCGAAAAGCAAGACGATATCGTCCGCATAATCTAGATCAACTAACCTTTCACTAGGCAGCATTTTGACGCCTACATCGTGAGATTCCGCAAGCGATTACTCCATGATAGAATCCACAACGAAATTGAACAAAATTGGGGAAATCGGACAACCCTGACGAACGCCACTTGTGGTCGGAAAGCTATCCGATAGGACACCACAGACCCTGATGTGGCCTGTAGTATTCGAGTATAGAGCACAAAGGATGTTCACATATTTCGTGGGAACACCTTTCCGCGCAAGTATTTCGAACAGAATCGATCGATCGACTGAATCGAACGCACTCTTGAAATCGAGGAACACAGCTATTGTCGGTCTGTGGTATGCATGGCGCTGCTCTAGCACCTGCCGCAAAGTGAATATATGGTTTATGCAGCCACGTCCTTGGCGGTAACCTCCTGCTCTTCCCTAATCCGAGATTCCCGTTCCGCAATGAGGCAACGAACCAGAATCGAGGCCAATAATTTTGTCACAACTGGCGTTAGGCTAATACCCCTGTGGTTAGAACAGTCTGTGCGACCACCCTTATTGTATATTGCCACTATAATCGATTCGCTCCAACTAGCCGGGACACTCTTCGTTCCAGATACGTTCGAATAAGGTCAGTGCTTTGCAGGGGACCTCATCTCCATCCTTAACTAGTGCAGGTGGGAGGGCATCCATGTCAGCGGCACGAAAATGATTGAGGGCTGTGACCGCGTTTCGGACTTGGGCCTCCGAAGGAGGCTCTAAACTAACCGTCCATGTCTCGTCCTGCATCACCTGAGTAGGAAGAGGTCCGGGAGCAGAGGGCCAGCTGAACTGATCTTGAAAGTGTTCCACCCAACGAGCCATACGGCGCTCCTTATTGTGTATCAGCGCATCCGAGCTGTCTCTGCTTGTCTCACTGACGCCTGGCTTTCTGGGACCAGTGGTGC